GCTTTCAGAAGACATTTCTTAAAGGTCACATGCAACCAAAATATCAAACATAATTAAAACCCAATTATCACGTATTCATGACATATAGTATACATTGCTGATTATGAAAAACCATATAAACGAAAGTGTACAATCGCAAATCAAAAGTGCAATATTTTGTACTTGGGTTTACTTCCCTAGAAACGAAGCAGCCGCGATACCGAACCCATTCAGAGCGGGTGGGTGTGCACTCAAGTGTAACGGCTGGTTCATTTGCAGATGCTCTCACGGCTCATTGTGTGTGTATATTTAGAGATGTTGGGTTTTGTAAATACATGCTCATTTTTTGTGTATAACATTTTGCAATCAACAGACATCATAACATGTCATGTGTACAAGTATCACACCTGCCTGTCTGTGTAATTACATAACGTGACAGAGACCGGACCCGGGCCATTTATCAATGCGTTTTGTTTATGGTGTATAGCCTGATAGGTGTTAAGTTCAAATTGCATGTGGTCAGTGATCGAAGTTGTGTATTGAATATTGTCATTAGCAGACGGGCAGGCAGACACATAGGTGTCAATAAAATTGAGTTGTCACAGACATTGAGTTTTGTCTGTGACAACGACATATCTATATCACAGTTAGAAATTCTGTCAACGCTAAATAATGACATTGCTAAGTATCGAACTGAGAAAGTGACTCGGTAAGAAGAACGTGTGGTGAAATAGACAAATGCAATTATATAAACAGTTAAATCGGTAATCTACTGTTATAACATATAAAAAGCTCGCGCCTGTGAAATATCAACAAAATATTAGAAAAATAGCTCACATCAAAGCCTTCACCGAGTATTCACCGGACAACCCGCTTCCAAGCTGCGCCAACCTATTTCACTGCGCATGTGCTATGAGTGCAGCCCAGCTGTTGAAACCACTTCAATTCCCCCAAGCGCTGGGGGAAAATTAGTGAATCGTTTGAACTCCGATTTCGCGCGTTTTTTTTCATCGCGTTATTTTTCAACTTTATAAGTTGAATTTGCATTTTTGATGATTTGTTTCGGTAAGTCCATACCGATAGGTATCAGAATCTGCAAAGTTGTGTTTTACGTTGTATGTGACCTTTAAGCAATTTGAGGACTTTGTCCTTGCTATTAAGTTTTTGTCAAGAATGATCCCCTACCAACGTGCACAGGATAACGATCTTTACTAGATTCTGGTGTCTCAAGTGTTCTGTCTCTGGTGTCCTCCAATATTGCTGGAATATTGCTAAACGGCGTAAAATCAAACTCACTCTGTCTCTGTCAGAAAATGTTCAAGTCTGACGTTATTCCCGATGATCGATCACAACATTCACAGCCTAATCCCCTACATGGCGTCATGATGGATGTATGTTGACTGACTTTGGCAGACAGCACCACATTGTTTCGAGTCAGTCGATCGTCTCCTGTATTGTAGGTCACACTCAATACCTGTCACCATCGAAATTCTCAAAGAGGACTGCATCTGTCGAGTCTTCATTAGGTAATAATAGATTCATGTATGAAGTCTAAAATGCACAGGGACACATCAAATGATAACACATCAGTCACAGACACGACAGTATTGTTACGTGTGTAAGAATTATTGTCAATGGGTACATCTTGAAACAAGTGGTGAACTCTTGAATTTCTTTCTGACACTGGAGCTCTTCGTCAGCGGTAACTGACCTAGCTTAATTTCACAGATAGATAAAACTTAGATTAGTGTAACGTAGGGCTAGCAGAGTGAGCAATACCTTCAAACCTGACAAACTCACATCTCACACTGTCAACAGTTTCCCTCAGCAACAGTGGAAACACATTAAGTAGGTACATTGTCATTTCTTTCATGGGACTTTCTAATCAGATTGACATGACAAGGTTGCATCTTTTTACAACAGCACAACACATTTAGCACAACACAGCCAGTATCATTGCCTTTCCTATCAATTACAGATTGTACCTGACAGTAATGGCTGACCAGAAACTGGCAAAAACTTTAAATATGTCTCTTGAGACTTCTTGTCATAATGTACTTTCATCTTATCCTGGGATTCTTTCAGAGTATCCTCGGCAATGTCACAAGCTTTCGAAAACTTAGTCTGAAATGATGAAACACAGATCAACAAACTCATTTCAGACTTATAATTAATCCATTACCACTTCACGTGCTTCAAGTATGGCCAAAGACAAGGTCAACTGACTCCCTGAAAGCCAACAACAACAAATGAATGCCTTCATCACGTCCTCAGCCTCCACGGAGAAACTCCTTGTTATATTCTTAGGAGTCTTATGAAGTCTCTCTAGAGCACCCTGAGATTCAGGATGATATACATTTAGACTTCACACGAGTCATGCCTAACTGATGCATAGCGAGTTGGAATACACCTGACATGTAACTGGAAATCTGTCTGAATAGGTAAACCAAACATTGCGAAAAAACGTCTTGAAACAAAGCCTGGATAATGACCTGAGCTGTAATTTTCCGTAAAGGAATAGCCTCTTGGAACCTTGTGGAGCGGGAAAGGGTTTTTTTAAATGGCGCAGCTGTTATTTTTTTGATTGGGTATACCAACCATTTTAGGCGCATGGCAGGTTTTGTAAAATTCTGCCACATCGTGCCTGAAGTTAGGCCAGTTTTGTCACATGTTTTGTTCACATCTAAATGAGCTTCACGTACCAAACTTAAAACATGTTTTGCTAGGAGTGAGTGAGTTAAAATTTAAAGTCACATCGGCAGTATTTCAGCCATATCGTGAAAGTTGTAAATTCATAAATGTAATAATGAATATAAACAAACTTATATACTTGCCTGTCTGCAAAGGACAATAAAATAACTAGTCTATCACAGATTTACACTTGAAACTAGCATATAACCAAAAAACTCTATTTCTATCTTCAACAATGCAATAAAAAATGGGCTATAGATCAACATACTAGAGACTATGGGGACTTACAGTACCCTTGCTACCTCCATGGATTTACACCACTCCTTCAGATGTTAGCGATTTGGCAAATTTAGCCATGAATAAAATGAACACATATCCTACGATTAGAATCATGGTACGAAGAAATGTACTTTGAATGACGTGGTTTTGCACACCCTCTCAGGGGGGACTGTTTTGATAAGAATTTAGATGAACGATCTGATCTAATACCCACATTCATTATCAACAGGTACATCTGGCGGTCTCCATTTACTCATCAAACGCGAAAATTGAAAAAATAGCAAACTGGACCCTTGCCATCTTCTTCAAAACAACTTTGAAGCCAAAGTAATCTCCCTCGACAATGTAGACAGATCCATGATCCATGAAAGTGCCAGCCAAATTGGAATCATTCTCAGAAGATATGTTCCTAGGCTCAGCACGAGCAACAACACCGGAAAACAACAGGATCAACCAAATATTTCTCCCCTGCTAAATCATTCCCAATAAGCAAGTCCACACCTTTGATAGGGAGAGTACCTGGGAAGAACCGGGTTAGAATTGGCCTTCAGTAACCCATGCTTGTCGTTAGAGGCAACTAACGGGATCGGGTGGTCAGGCTCGCTGACTTGGTTGACACATAAAAGAGAAGTTGTTTGATATTGATTATTCTAACTGGTATTCACAACTATGGGATGATACTGGCCGTTGTAACGGTAACAAACTGCGAACGTTCCGGCTGTTTAAGACCTCTTTATCAGTATCAACATATGCCCGCACTATTTTCAATAGATCTCAACGAAGTATCCTGGCCAAACTACGATGTGGAACTTTACCTCTGGAGATTGAACTTGGTCGTTTCTCACGGCCTAAAACCCCTCTTGAACAACGACTATGTAAATATTGTAAGAATAGAGCAGTTGAAGACGAGGTCCATTTTTTATCGAAATGTAATATATATTCCGATATAAGGTCAGTTTTATGGCAAAAGGCACGCTCTCTTAATCCTCTGTTTAGCTTGATGACTCCTGTCGACCAGACTATTTTTATTATGGAATGTGATAACCTAGTATATTCCTTAGCTGCTTCAGTGTTACTTATGTTTAAAAGAAGAACATTATTATAACATTTGATATTACACCATCCATCTTTTCTCTAAGTTTTACTATGTGTGTATAGGGATATATTTTATCTATGCATTGTTTTATGGATTTTATGTGTCTCGTAGGCCTGTAAAGGCCGGGCAGATGTTTCATATGTGATACAGAAGATTTTATATATTATGTAAACATCTGCGTGACACAATAATAAAATAATTTCTCTCTCTCTCTCTCATATCAACATATCTTGGTTGCGTAGATCGATGCTCCCCCCCCCAACACACACACACACATACGCGCACAGCATGAAAAAACACACGTACACATCATCACACACATGTACACACTACAAACATCACGCACTCATATATGCACAAAATTACATTCTACAGCCATCAGATACAGGATTAAATGTCGAGGTCTGTTCTCCCTCTAAGGAGTTTAACTAGGATGCTACTGTCATCGCCTCACATGGCCAATTCTGGCACTTCCATTTCAGTAATGTACTTATTTCAAAACTCAATTTTCACAATGTTACTCTGGATTTCGAAAATAAAATTGAAAATAAAATTGAAAACTTTATCTGAAACAAGAAAAATATCTATTAATTTGTATTTGTATCCAAATTACAAACCTGTTTTGGGTAAGATGTGGAGAGGATAATAGATAAGCAGCTGAAAGCTCATCAAATGAAAGTTTAAATAATGGCATATGTCTCATACTTGAATATATAATAATGTCTCTATACACACAATGATTTTAAAACCTGTATCAATGCAGTGACAGGCAAACTGGAGGTGAAAATTGGTGCCACGGGGGAACCTGAGCAAATCTTCACGTGCTTAATTCAGGGCTTTAGCACTGTAGAATGGACTGGGCGGAAGGGGAAATGATGCGCTTCGGGGACTGTGAGACAGCCTACTTTCATTCAAGAGGCAACTTGTAACTGTAGTGAACAAATAACTGTATTACCTTGATTTGAGATGCCGCTTGGGTGCTTCTCCGCTGTGTATCCAGTCTGATCGCGTGTAGAATATAGAACAAATACTGCAAACAGTAGAACACCCACGAACGCAGCAACCACTGTCTTCATAGCGAACGCCATGTTCCCTCATAAATATGACGTGCAACGTTGAGTGATGTGTTGAACCTGGAGTCACGGACATAAAGCCGTGTGTCACATGCGTTTATTACCGTCACGTGTGGTGTTCCTCACTTCACTTGCCTTGACAACAAGACGGGAACCAATCACACCTCTGTACACGGAGACTTAATAACTCATCTAGTTGATCTTTCAAAAGCCAATGCAACGTGTCTGCACTTGCCTCTATCTATTTGATCTCATGAATAGCACAATATGTCCCCTTTACCATGTCCCAATACAGGGGAGGATACAGTTTTCTGAGAAAGGGGGTGGGGTGGGGTGGGGGGTGCAAGGGTGCGCCGGATACAGTTTTCTGAGAAAGGAGGGGTGCACCCTTGCACCACCACCCCCCTCTCTGGATCCGCATATGCAATTTAATACCATGTGTCAGTTTACCTGTTCCCCTGTGCAGTCCGACATGTGTCTGTTAGTCCTACTTGTGTATGTGTCTGTTAGTCCTATTTGTGCATGTGTTTGATGTCAGTCACAGTCCAATGTGATGTGTCTGTTGACAAGTATAGCGTAAATTCTAAAGTGGTGTGTCCGTTCACCTCATCTTCTGCACAACCCAATGTAATGTGTCCGTATCCTGTACGGTCCAATATGTTTAATACTCTAGGAATATGATATCGGGGGACACCAGAAATGGGACGAGCGAACGCTTTCACCACTAGGCTACCCCACCTGTGTGGACGTGAAATGGGCTATTGATAAATTGGATGGGCAAAAACTGACGTGTGTTGTGCCCTTAAACGCACAATGGTCTTAAGTGCACAGAAATCATGAATATTCATGAGTGGGCGGAGCTTATGTCACTACGTCACATACACGGCACAGTATCTTCCGCGGAACTAGTAGAGGGAGTTGACCTATGCTGCTTCGTCTGTTATTGCCTTATACAATGTGACAGCTACAATATGCATATGATGTATATGTAAACATGAAGTATACGTGCCGTTTATTCAATATAATGTGCTGTATTGAAGTTTTGCGACGCAACCTCCCATGGTGAAGGAGTTCAAGCGAGAAAGCCTCCTCGAGAACAACCACGGTACCTTGCGTTGCGATGGAAACATTCACATGTCAATATTGTCATTGCTCAGTCCTGACTTATCATAACTCTCCAACCAAACAGAATAACATCTCTTGTCAACCAACTAAATACTTATACAATACATATGTTCATGTACGTACATATTGCCAGATCTAATTAAACTCCACGTATTTCAATAGCGTCAGCTCTGATAGGGCGTCTTATGAAGGAAGGAAAGGTTACCCAGGCAGGCCAAAGTATCCAAAGCTACCTTTCCATGGCTATCAAGGCACTACAAAATTGAAACAAATATTTGAGATATATATCCCAGGGTAACCTATCATGGCAACAAATATTTCGGGAATTTGGGTAGTGTATCTGAAGTACCTGAGGAATCCCTCCAAATGGTAAAATTACTAGTTTCTGGTGTGAAGGTGCAGATAAATATATTAAGGATAAAAACAACAACACCATGTCAACACCTCGGCCAGTTTAAATGTCTGGCAAAGTATATCCCTCCAAAGATACCATACTGCCAGGGTGTTTTGGTACTTTGGCAAGTCTTACTGAGTTTACTTATTGCCAGTTAAAATCACTTTCAATTATTTCCAACTTAACTTCCCTCTAAAGTAATTAATATCAAATCATTTTCATGGCATTTTCAACACTCCTTTCAACCTGATCCCTTTGACCATGTACAACCCCTCTAGACTGAAAAATTTCATTCAATCTCTACCCCATTTCAGCCTAGCTGGGCCGCTTCCTCGGCGCGTCAAGGCGGACAGTCAGTGTGCACCACAGAGGTTCTGCCAGCTGCCCAGGAGAGCTTCATCCAGCCCCAAGCACCCCAGGGGACTGGTAGGAAATGAAATGCATGTTGTTTTTGCTGTGCCTTTTTTAAAAAGGTCCATTGTGCATTTAAGGTTTTCTGTGCACTTAAGGTTTCCTATAGCAGTCCTTAAGTGCACAGAAAACCTTAAATGCACAATGATGTCTTGGCCCCTCCCTGGACCCTCTTGGCTGTTTTTGGCTGGTGCAGAGGCCCCACCTGATCCCTTTGACCATGTACAACCCCCTCTAGACTGAAAATTTCATTCACTCTCTCTCCCATTTCAGCCTAGCTGGGCCGCTTCCTCGGCGCGTCAAGGCGGACAGTCAGTGTGCACCACAGAGGTTCTGCCAGCTGCCCAGGAGAGCTTCATCCAGCCCCAAGCACCCCAGGGGACTGGTAGGAAATGAAATGCATGTTGTTTTGCTGTGCCTTTTTTAAAAGGTCCATTGTGCATTTAGGGTTTTCTGTGCACTTAAGGTTTCCTATAGCAGTCCTTAAGTGCACAGAAAACCTTAAATGCACAATGATGTCTTGGCCCCTCCCTGGACCCTCTTGGCTGTTTTTGGCTGGTGCAGAGGCCCCACCTGATCCCTTTGACCATGTACAACCCCCTCTAGACTGAAAATTTCATTCACTCTCTCTCCCATTTCAGCCTAGCTGGGCCGCTTCCTCGGCGCGTCAAGGCGGACAGTCAGTGTGCACCACAGAGGTTCTGCCAGCTGCCCAGGAGAGCTTCATCCAGCCCCAAGCACCCCAGGGGACTGGTAGGAAATGAAATGCATGTTGTTTTTGCTGTGCCTTTTTAAAAAGGTCCATTGTGCATTTAAGGTTTTCTGTGCACTTAAGGTTTCCTATAGCAGTCCTTAAGTGCACAGAAAACCTTAAATGCACAATGATGTCTTGGCCCCTCCCTGGACCCTCTTGGCTGTTTTTGGCTGGTGCAGAGGCCCCACCTGATCCCTTTGACCATGTACAACCCCCTCTAGACTGAAAATTTCATTCACTCTCTCTCCCATTTCAGCCAAGCTGGGCAGCTTCCTCGGCGCGTCAAGGCGGACAGTCAGTGTGCACCACAGAGGTTCTGCCAGCTGCCCAGGAGAGCTTCATCCAGCCCCAAGCACCCCAGGGGACTGGTAGGAAATGAAATGCATGTTGTTTTTGCTGTGCCTTTTTTAAAAAGGTCCATTGTGCATTTAAGGTTTTCTGTGCACTTAAGGTTTCCTATAGCAGTCCTTAAGTGCACAGAAAAACCTTAAATGCACAATGATGTCTTGGCCCCTCCCTGGACCCTCTTGGCTGTTTTGGCTGGTGCAGAGGCCCCACCTGATCCCTTTGACCATGTACAACCCCTCTAGACTGAAAATTTCATTCACTCTCTCCCCATTTCAGCCTAGCTGGGCAGCTTCCTCGGCGTCAAGGCGGACAGTCAGTGTGCACCACAGAGGTTCTGCCAGCTGCCCAGGAGAGCTTCATCCAGCCCCAAGCACCCCAGGGGACTGGTAAGAAATGAAATGCATGTTGTTTTGCTGTGCCTTTTTAAAAAGGTCCATTGTGCATTTAAGGTTTTCTGTGCACTTAAGGTTTCCTATAGCAGTCCTTAAGTGCACAGAAAACCTTAAATGCACAATGATGTCTCTTGGCCCCTCCCTGGACCCTCTTGGCTGTTTTGGCTGGTGCAGAGGCCCCACCTGATCCCTTTGACCATGTACAACCCCTCTAGACTGAAAATTTCATTCACTCTCTCTCCCATTTCAGCCTAGCTGGGCCGCTTCCTCGGCAGCGTCAAGGCGGACAGTCAGTGTGCACCACAGAGGTTCTGCCAGCTGCCCAGGAGAGCTTCATCCAGCCCCAAGCACCCCAGGGGACTGGTAGGAAATGAAATGCATGTTGTTTTTGCTGTGCCTTTTTAAAAAGGTCCATTGTGCATTTAAGGTTTTCTGTGCACTTAAGGTTTCCTATAGCAGTCCTTAAGTGCACAGAAAACCTTAAATGCACAATGATGTCTTAACCCCTCCCTGGACCCTCTTGGCTGTTTTGGCTGGTGCAGAGGCCCCACCTGATCCCTTTGACCATGTACAACCCCCTCTAGACTGAAAATTTCATTCACTCTCTCTCCCATTTCAGCCAAGCTGGGCAGCTTCCTCGGCGCGTCAAGGCGGACAGTCAGTGTGCACCACAGAGGTTCTGCCAGCTGCCCAGGAGAGCTTCATCCAGCCCCAAGCACCCCAGGGGACTGGTAGGAAATGAAATGCATGTTGTTTTTGCTGTGCCTTTTTAAAAAGGTCCATTGTGCATTTAAGGTTTTCTGTGCACTTAAGGTTTCCTATAGCAGTCCTTAAGTGCACAGAAAAACCTTAAATGCACAATGATGTCTTGGCCCCTCCCTGCACCCTCTTGGCTGTTTTTGGCTGGTGCAGAGGCCCCACCTGATCCCTTTGACCATGTACAACCCCTCTAGACTGAAAATTTCATTCACTCTCTCTACCCCATTTCAGCCTAGCTGGGGCAGCTTCCTCGGCGCGTCAAGGCGGACAGTCAGTGTGCACCACAGAGGTTCTGCCAGCTGCCCAGGAGAGCTTCATCCAGCCCCAAGCACCCCAGGGGACTGGTAAGAAATGAAATGCATGTTGTTTTGCTGTGCCTTTTTAAAAGGTCCATTGTGCATTTAAGGTTTTCTGTGCACTTAAGGTTTCCTATAGCAGTCCTTAAGTGCACAGAAAACCTTAAATGCAATAATGATGTCTTGGCCCCTCCCTGGACCCTCTTGGCTGTTTTTGGCTGGTGCAGAGGCCCCACCTGATCCCTTTGACCATGTACAACCCCTCTAGACTGAAAATTTCATTCACTCTCTCTCCCATTTCAGCCTAGCTGGGCCGCTTCCTCGGCGCGTCAAGGCGGACAGTCAGTGTGCACCACAGAGGTTCTGCCAGCTGCCCAGGAGAGCTTCATCCAGCCCCAAGCACCCCAGGGGACTGGTAGGAAATGAAATGCATGTTGTTTTGCTGTGCCTTTTTAAAAGGTCCATTGTGCATTTAAGGTTTTCTGTGCACTTAAGGTTTCCTATAGCAGTCCTTAAGTGCACAGAAAACCTTAAATGCACAATAATGATGTCTTAACCCCTCCCTGGACCCTCTT